ATTATATCAAATATTTTTCTACATTATTGAGATACAGATTTTAATCTGTTAACCTGCAAGTGTGTTATTTGTGTCTCTCCTAAGAAGGTTGGTTTTTCCTATTTTATTCATCTTTTCAAAGAAGCTGTTGAAATTTGTTAAATTTCTCCATTTATTATTTGCTTTCTCTCATTTTCTGCACATTTTCTTTTATCTTAACTTGATACTTTTTTTTTAACTTGATACTTTTTTTTTAAACATTTATTATGTGTGTGTGTGTGTGTGTGTGTGTGTGTGGCCAGCTCAGCCCACCTGGGGGCGGGGCTGGCTGGCATGTGGTGCTGGGGATCGAACCGCGGTTCCTGTGCTTTGCCAAGCTTGTTCCAAGTAGGTGCTTTAGACCACTGAGCCATCTCACCAGTCCAACTTGATACTTTACTCATTATTCTTAATTTTTATTAAGATCCCATAAGGTAGTATATAAGGTTTTCATAGTTGTTTTGTTCTAAGTTTGTTATGTGGAATTATATTTTGTCAGTTTCTAACTTATACTATAATTATTTATATGCATTAGCTTTTCCCCAGTGGATATTCAAGTGTATAACAATTTTTTAAAAAACAAATAAGTGAAATATTAATGAATTTACTCCACTTAAAACTACTGTCTATTAAGACCAGAACATCAAATATGTACATATGTACTGAAAAATAGCCTAAGGTGTGAATTCTTTATTATCATACCTAAGGTTTTTTTTTAATGGGATCTTCCCACTCCATAAAGATTTTTGAAAGAAATATTTATGTTTTCATTATTCCTAGATTACTCAAAAGTATCAGCTCCATGAAGTCACTGCCTATCTCTTGGAAAAGAAAGGAGATATTCCTGGTGCCTTCCTAATAATGCTGGAGGTAACATTTTATTGCTTTTGTCTTGTCCTATTTCTGTCTACCCATTTATCAGTCTGTTTTAATTCATTTTGTCTTAAGGCAAGTTGCAGACAAAAGTACATTTTACACATGAACATGTATATTGTGCATTGAACAGAATTCAGTATTTATTTGTGGTAATGTTTTTTTTTTTAAAAAAAAGAAAATGTGCATATGACCAAAACATGAGTTTTAAGTATCCCTTATGACGAGTTTTTGACAAATACCTGCCACACAAGGTGGAGAAGATGACCTTCACCACAGGAAGTTCCTTTCATTTTCCTTTTTTTTTTTTCAAACATTGTCATTCAGCTTGGAATAGACTTAGGGATGTTCTATTTATATAAAAAAAAGAAGTACTAATAATGTTTGAACAGGATATCATGTGTGCATTTGTGCTATGAATAATCACTAGGAAAACAATAATATGCAATGTATTAATTATTGAAACTGTCCTAATAATTGGCTTTGAAACTGTTATTGCTATTTGTTTCTCAGTAAAATTAATAAAAGAAAAAAATCGTAAAAAAAAAAGAAAAAGAAGCTTCTATGTTTTAGCTGTATGGTTTTAAAACAGCCCAGGAAGAATACTACTCATTGGCTTTGTATAGGATCTTAATTTCTTTTTATTGGAAATTAACCTACTTCTCTTTTCCTTGCAATTTTTTTTTGTTGTTTGGGATACCATAAAACTAGAATTGAAGGATAAGTGAAAATATTCCTGGCATAAATAAGGAGAGAGCAGATCTTGGCAAGGAATACAGCCATTATACGACACATCTTGGGAATGTAAAGAAGTGTGGACTGTTCGTTTGGTTTTTTTTTAGCGGAACTGGGGATTGAACTCAGGC